TCACTAGAAAAATATATAGGACTGGCATAACAAGTTTCATGTCAAAATAATGAGAACTGGTGCCAGAATTGATACTGGCTATGTTAAAGCGCGTACCAGAAAGGTGCTACGAAAAATAAAATAAAAATATGAAAAATCTTAGAAAAATGAGAAGGTTCAGAATCCTAAGTTTGGGATTAAAATGTTAAGCGTAGCTATTAGCGCTAATACAGTGCGATAAAAACTTAAGTGGGCTATATATACCCATTTGGCCCAAAACCTTAGGCCATATTGTGCCTCCTACGTGACTTATGCTTCAGAATTCTGAGTGTCACCTTGCCACCCTCTTCTACCTCCATAGGAACCTCCAAGAAAGCATTTTTCTTCTTGTTCTTCCACCATAATACCTTTTCCTTGGGTGAGCTTGTCTTGTGAGTAGGAAAGTGTCACCTTTCTGAGTTTTAGCTCTGTGTTGGTGGGGTTTTGAGGGCTGTGTTAGTGAGTGGGGTTGAGGGAGCCTTTGTCTTGTTAATTTTAAGCTTCAAGGAGCCACCTTTGGGTAGAAGGGACCTTGCTTGAGTGTCATTTTCGTGCACCCTTGAAGTCAGGACTGTGGAGCTGACTTGTGAGCTCCAAGAGCATTCCTCTTTGCTGTGTTGAGCTTTGGGTGAGTTGTTCAACCTTTGATCATCAGTTTAATGGTTAAAAATGGGGCCTTGATGCATGTAACAAGCTAAAGTTAATAACTTGAGGTTGGGAAAAGTTAAACACACCTAGAAATGCATGTTTTAGCTTCTGTAATCGTTAAAAGAGCAAACTTTGGGAAGGATATCTCACGAAATGCAGAACTACATTCTGTCGCGAAATATCCGGATATGATATCCGGATATGGGCCTTGTGATATCCGAATATGGATATCCGAATATGATATCCGGATATGGCCTCGACATATATCCAGATATTCTGGGTTTTCAAGAACAGTAACGATACTGTTCATACAGAATGCTATTTTGGGTCTGTGAACCCATGATTGGCTAATGTGGACTTCTGTAATAATTAAGCTAAGTCAGAATCTAAGTGATTAAGGACTTATGGCTTTGTGAGAAACCTAAAGACATGAAACGTAAGGGAAAGGCGTTGTCTTTATGTCGTTTGCTTGTAGAGCATGTATATTGATTTGATTGTTGGTCTAAAACAGATTGTGATCTTGCTGTTTGTTGACTTGAGCTTGTGTGGACTCTTGGCTTGGATAGTTAGCTTGCAGGGTAAGCTTTCGTGTCCTCAGTTTAGCCATTGTTGGTTCCACCATATCCCATGGGGGATGGTTTATATGCATGATGTGTTTTCATGTATTGTTTTATTGAAATGCTATTGAGCTGTTAAGTGCAAATGCCTATGATATGTATGTGGTGTTCGCCTAGACGGGATTAAGTTCCTGTGGGCAGGTACGTCATGGGCGCGTACTGTGTGGGTAATAGACGTATTCTTACATTTTTCTGGCCAGTAGATTAGTTATAACACACATGACATGATTATCTGCTGCATTGCACTGGTTTTGGAACTGATATTGAATTACTGCTTTTAGAACTTATATTGCACATGTCAGTGAGCTTGGGGTGAAAGATCCTTGAGGACCCCTTGTCTTACTGAGAATTCTGTTTAGAGATCTCACCCCACGTTTGGGGCACATATTTCAGGTTCAGGTAACCCTGAGGTTGAGACCTCGGGCGGCAGGATGATGAGCATGGAGATTGTCCATGCCATATTGACTTGACTTTATGCTTTTAGATTCAAGTTGTATAATTGTATCAGGATTATGTCCGGTCTACGGGTTGTAGTTCCGTGACTTAGACACTCACTTATTATATATGAGGTTATTCAGTGTAGATAGTTGTCTTTTACAATTTACATACAGGCGATGTTTTTATGAAAATGATTAAGTAATCAACTTGGTTAAGGATAATGACGTCATAATTGAAAGTAAAAAGTTATTTCGCATTTTTAATTAAGTGTGGCTTAATACGATGACATGTTAACAAACTGAGTATACACAGGGTGTTACACTTGGGTTGTATAATCTATCTGGATATTGTCCGATCTACGTGTTGTAGTTTCGTGACTAGAAACACATTTATATATGAGGTATTTCAGTTAGTCGTTTAATTGCAATTTACATACGAACAATGTTTTGAAAAATGATTAAGTAATCAACTTGGTTAATAATAATGACGTCATAATTGAAAGGAAAAAGTTAGCTTCCGCATTTTAATTAAGCAGCGCTTAATACGATAATATGATAACAAACCGAGTATACACATGAATTCAATCGACGTAATGACCTCCCCTTTTAGCTATGAGAAATGGGTCTGATCCATCTCAAGCTAAAATCTCGTATAAATAAAGGGTTAAGCCTCATAGGTATGTCACTTGAAACCCTAGCCATTACAGCTATCGTTGTCTCTTAATTTTAGTCGATATTTAAAAAGTTAAAACAACCCCGTTTATTCTTTATTTTCTAATTTTTTTTAATAATATTATTGGATTAGACTATATAAAAAACAAAGAAGTTATATATATAACATGCAGGAAAATTTACAAAAAAGGGAGGTTATCTCATTCTAAGTTCCTACAAATAAAGAAGTTGCAGGAATTCAATCGAAAATATTTAATTCGACACACTTAAATTCTACCATTTAAACTATCCCATGTTGATAACAATTATCTTACATTGAAAAAGAAATGATGCATAATAAAGGATGGAGTAAGTGTAAGTTAATTAAAAATTATTAATTATATTGTATTTGTTTTGTGTGAAATTAATTAAATTTTATGTTTTCATTTATCAATTATCACTGACCAATCCCCCGTATAATATAATATCATAGCTTAATAGCGAGTTGTTCGATATGGCCAACCATAACTTGAGCTGTTTCAATTTCTTGGTTTAATCCGGTGATGACAAAGTTACAGTACAGATAGTAGGCCCATTGCATGTATCATGCATGTGGTGGCATCATGTCGTTGAAAACGTTGGTGCACATCCAAATGATGTAACCAAGCACGCTCCTCCTCAACAAGGTTTAAAGCCAATAAAAATGGTTTGAAAAGAAATGTCCAGCGCTTTCCATACGGCAAGGGAAATATATATATATATATATATATATATATATATATATATATATATATACCCTTTGTTTTTTTATATAATACCCGAAGTAACAAAGCATAGTGTTTGTCAAGCGTTGACATGAAAGTATTAATTTTTGGAATATACTGTGGATGTTGAGTTATAGTTATTCTTTTGATTCTTTGAGGCATTCCTGGGAAGGGTGAGCTTATGTTGTATATATATATAGCTCACAATGCCCACACCTCTTCATCCCAACCCTACCACTTCTTTTCTTTACTCTTTCAACCTGGTTTGGGACAAGCAGGTCTGCTCTCTCTCTCTCTCTCTCTCTCTCTCTCTCTCTCTTATTGTACATTTTAGTAATGTATGGAACTTGAAATAGAGTTCCAAATGGAAGAGTTTTCCATAGTGAGGAGACCCCACTTTTTAAGTAGTTAGGCACTGCCACTCAGTACTTTTTGTATTACAATAATGGGAACAAACTAACAGTCATTCCACCATTGAGTTATGGGGGTTCCTATACCAATCCTAGGATGCCATTTTCATGAATTTTGTTTTCCAATCATCCACCAGAACAGAATACTCTGGTCTGTGGTCTTTCTACCACTCTAGTCACGTTAAGTGCTATGCTACTAGTTCTCCAAGAAGTGAAACGAGATACAAACTAAGAAATGGTTTCTTAGGGCTTTTTGGTCTATTTTCGTTTCTTTTCTTTGTTTCCTTTTTCTAATCTCTGCATGAGTTTACGAGAAAATGATGTCATCAATATTGGGGTGTTGTTTTTCTTGAGAGAAGAGAACGAACATGGAGCAGCCATAAGGTTACTCCTCATGACCTTTCGGTCATGAAGGGTTTGAGTCTGGAAATCACCTCTTACAAAAATATAAAGATAATATTGCATATAATCAACTCTCGTCTCTATCCTCGCAAGTTGGAAAACTTTATGCACCAGGTTTATCCTTTGTTTTTCATTAAATAAATACCATAACTGGGACAAGCACCTTCCTTACTTCACTTTACCCATCTATCATGGAATTCATCAATATATTCTAGACACAAATCCTCTCCATCTGGATTTCTACTATTTAAGATAATAATTGGCTTATAATTTTCATTTCTTCCTTCTCTTTTCCCTATGTTGATTTGTCCCCACATGTTTTGTCTTTTTGAGCTATTAATATATTCATAGCCGGCTAACAACTTGACCCAATTTTGTGTAGTCATTTACTTTCCTTTGTTTATGTTTCCTTATGGTCTAGTGGGGTTATCGAGAAAGAAATCTATAGCAAAATTGCCGGCAAGATTGTAAACAATTTATATATCCAATTTCTTGTTGTCGTGGTATCCACAAGTGGACTATATGGATTCATGCCATATTATAAGGAATTTAGGATAAAATATCTGAAATCTGAAACTTTTAGCTGCAAATTTTTCCAAACTACGACTCAGGTTAATAATTTCTTACATATGTCTATTGTGTTCTCGGTGACTCTCGAGCGGCGGTAAAGTTGCTCTTTTGTGACTGACAGGTCACGGGTTCGAATCCGGAAAGCAGTCTATTTGCAACTATGCAAAGATAAAACTGTCTACAAGGATTGTCCTCACCCCTACCCTCGCTAATTGAAATTTAACGGGGAGTGATTTTTTAAGTCTATTGTGTTATCTGTGTTCTGTTATGAAAATTGGTATGAATAGCCACTCTCCTTTAGTTAGACACAAATAAGCTGTTCTCAAAGATTGAATAAAGGGAAAAATAATATTTTATTTTGCTTGCTTATAGCTATTGGCCTGGTTGGTATATATGTTCAAAGGTTGTTAAACTTTATCTCTTGTACTTGTGCAGAAAAATTATAATCTCATATAGGGGCACAAGAAGGTAGAAGATTCAGTGATGGCACGAGAACTGGCAGTGCTGAATGCACTCGATGTGGCCAAGACACAATGGTACCACTTCACAGCAATTGTGATAGCTGGAATGGGTTTCTTCACTGATGCCTATGATCTCTTTTGCATTTCCATTGTCACCAAGTTGCTTGGGAGGATATATTACCCAGATATTCATAATTCAAAGCCAGGAAATCTTCCTGCTCCTATTCAAGCTGCTGTGACTGGTGTTGCACTGTGTGGGACACTAGCAGGCCAACTATTCTTTGGTTGGCTTGGTGACAAAATGGGAAGAAAAAGGGTCTATGGTTTAACCCTTATGCTCATGGTAGTGTGTTCAATTGCCTCAGGACTCTCTTTTGGTAAAACTGCTAAAGGTGTCATGGCCACACTATGTTTCTTCAGGTTCTGGCTTGGTTTTGGAATTGGTGGTGATTACCCTCTTTCAGCTACAATCATGTCTGAATATGCCAACAAAAAGACTAGAGGGGCATTTATAGCTGCTGTTTTTGCTATGCAAGGATTTGGAATCTTGGCTGGTGGAATATTTTCCTTGATTGTCTCAGCTGCATTTCAACACAAATATAGGCATACTCTTGTTAAGTTTGAAACAAATGCAGAAGCATCCATTGTACTACCTGCATTTGATTATGTTTGGCGTATCATTTTAATGTTTGGTGCATTCCCAGCAGCACTTACCTATTACTGGCGTATGAAAATGCCAGAAACAGCACGTTACACTGCACTTGTTGCTAGGAATGCAAAACAAGCTGCCGCAGACATGTCTAAGGTGTTAGAAGTTGAACTTCAAGCTGAAGAGGACAAGGTACGGAAATTTACAGAGACTGAAAACCTGAAGTATGGTTTGTTCACAAGGGAATTTGCAAAACGACATGGGCTTCATTTACTGGGAACAACTACAACTTGGTTCTTGTTGGATATAGCATTCTATAGCCAGAATCTTTTCCAAAAGGACATTTTCACTGCAGTTGGTTGGATCCCTCCAGCAAAACAAATGAATGCAATCGAGGAGGTTTTTAAAATTGCAAAAGCACAAACACTTATAGCATTATTCAGTACTGTGCCAGGTTATTGGTTCACAGTTGCATTTATTGATATCATGGGTCGTTTTGCTATCCAATTGATGGGTTTCTTCTTCATGACTGTGTTCATGTTTGCTCTGGCTATACCATATTACCATTGGAAAGCGCATGACAAATATGGGTTTGTTATTATGTATTCCTTGACTTTCTTCTTCTCTAATTTTGGTCCAAATGCTACCACATTTGTTGTGCCAGCAGAGATTTTCCCAGCGAGGCTAAGATCTACTTGTCATGGACTCTCAGCAGCTGCAGGAAAAGCAGGAGCAATTGTGGGTGCATTTGGGTTCTTATATGCTGCTCAAGGTACACATGAGGCAGAGGTTGCTGGTACAGGGTACAACAAAGGTATTGGGATTAAGAACTCTCTCATTATGTTGGGTGTGGTCAACTGCTTAGGAATGTTATTCACCTTACTGGTTCCTGAACCAAACGGAAAATCACTTGAGGAGTTGAGTGGAGAGAATGAAGATACTTCTGATGGACTTGAGCTTGAAGGGTCTTCTAAGACTGGTCATGTTTGATTAAAATATTTGCTCAACAAAGTGGCTTTCAAGTTATGCTGTTTTGAACATTTTAAATACTAGTTTATGTTTGTCATTGTTATATCCACAATAATGATGTATAAGCTCTTATGTTTTTGGTTGCTATCACTATAAAGCAATTACTTATGTAATTAAGCTTTTCGTTCTTGTTTCTCTATTAAAATTTATCTCTATGTTACTGTATCGATAGCCAACTATATTAATGTCATTGTCATTTTGAATAAGACTCCTGAAATTACTAGGTAAATAAATTTCTTTCTTTTTTTTTCCCCTTCGCTTTCTCTATTTTGCAGCAAAACGATGAAATATAATGAAACTCGTTGTAAAGAACTTTGAGATAGTGAAAATGTCTTTTTGGAAAAGATAATTACCCACATTGGTTGTATGTGCAACTAATGTGGAGTTTATAAGACCTTGGACACTCCCACCCTTTAAACTAGATTTTGGAGTCCCAAGGTTCTTTTCATAGTATCCATTGGTTATATGAGCAATTAATCACTTTATTGGCATATTCATTTATTTATTTTAAAAAATGTCAAAGAAATTTAGACCTAGAATAAACTTTGAGTTTATTCATTAAGTGATACGAACTTGCGGGGTATAATGTATTGTGATACATGAAAAATAATACTCAATTTTTGATAATCTATCACTATGATTCATGTATTTTGTTTCTTACATTGATATATATATCGGAATATGTGAACCAAGTGGAATAATATTGGTTTTTTTGTTGGACCAAGTCAAAAGCTTGGATTGAGATGATTACCAAAGACCAAGTCAAAATTTGGTTCACATGTTAAGTAATTAACCACTCACTTAGTAACTATTTTATCTTCAAATAATTGTCCACTAATTCAAAAAGAACACGACTACTTCAGACTAATCCGATTCGAGTACTGTTGGATCTTATAACGGGGCCGACTTTTCCAAAACTATTTTTTTTATTTTCAAGACTCGAACACGAGATATCTGACTAAAGAACACATTCTCCTTACCACTTGTGTTAATGGTATTTGGTTGTGCATTATGCTTTATGGTCCCTAAGCTCCTTCTTTCATATTAAGTTGTCATTCACCATCTAACCTGTGGAAGGAAGAGTTTAGAATCACCATATAAATCCCAAAATTTGGTACACTAAATATATATATCAATGGCCCGAAACATATCCATGATCTCTCTATTTTATTTACCATATAGATCTAATTGCATGCATTTTCATATCATAGACAAATTTTAAAAGAGTGACTTTTGTAAAGTTGTTCTGTAGGTATGAATAATTCTATCTGCGTAACTTTGCACAATTACGAGTTTACAATCACGCATAACTAGTAGTACTAGTAGTAGCATTACGCCTAATTAATTCTTTATGCTCCTGTACAATCACGCATAACATGGTTCACTTTTTTATGTATTTAATTGATTGTACATGTTATGCAATTGTAAATAAACAACTAAATTATTAGTTTGGAAATTTTATGAGGTATCCAAAAAAAATTCATATGAGCGAATTGTTATGGGCCCAATCAACATGACTGGGAAAATTTTAAGGACAGAAATCAACGGAAAAAAGGGCACATAGTAAAATTTATGGCATGGCTTTAATATTTGTACGGTAAATGTAGATAAGTTATTTATATTCAGTCCGTCATTTTGAATTGAAAAATAAAAAAAATTATAATGAAAAAGACTATTATAACTCTGAAATAAATTACAATTACAAAAATATCTTGATTTCTGTTCTAAAATGACATCGGTTTAGGTTCGATATAAAAGACGAATCCAAAATTTAAACCGCATATTGTGCCGAATATTTTCTCCCATTTGTAAACAATGCATGTAAGTCATTTTCAAAGTGGAAATATCGGGCACACAGTGAAATAAGATATTATTTCGATAAGAATTGACTTTTCTAAGATATTATTTTTATAATAATTAATGTTTTAAAATATAATTTTATAAGAATTGACTTTTTTAATATATATTTTTCATAGGAATTGAATTTTTAAGATATCATTTAATAGCATTGACTTTTTTGAACTAAGAAAGTTTTTTAATGGTTTAGAGTTTAGACTAATAATTTGAATTCGCTCAGGCAGCAATAGTCAACAAATCAAATGCAATATATCAAACATTCAGAATTTTGATTTCACTTAATTAACTAATCGCAACAATTGCTAAAATCTACTTAGTTAATTCCATATTATTTTCAAAGGTATACTATCTTATTATTAATTTAGTTTTTTAAAATTTAAAAGACATTAATTTTAAAGTAATAGTGATTTCGTGATATTATATTAAGTAAATTTTATTATATTTTTTTTTTATAATTCACTAACACTCAAATGTTAAGCATACTTTTAGATGATAAACTGAAATTTTGTTATCATTAGAGTTATATATATATATATATATATATATATATATATATATATATATATATATATATATATATATATATATATATATATATATAAGGTAGAATCTTTTGATACCGGTACTAAATAAAAAATTTGATACCTTATTTGAGGGCCGTCAGATTAAGGAAGATCAACGGTACTTACAAATCAAAGTCATTAAATCAAAGTAAGATTGATGACTCTTAAATGATGTGTCAAATTTTTTGTTAAAAATGTTAAAATTATATCATTATTTTTCAGACATCACGAAGAGCGAAATTATTACGATGCTCTAAGAGTATCATTCACTCAGTGCAATTAGCCAATAAAAATGCACAGAAAGTATATATCATATATGTACGGAGGAGATAGGATAAAAAAATTAATTGATCAAGTTCCATATTTTTAATTGATCAGGCATGCAACAACATCGTTGAGGAGCCTAATTGTAAGAACCCGCACCGTTAATTAAGGAATTTAATTAATAAATTATGAGAAAATAGGAAATGATTCCATAATTGACCCTAATAGTTATTATGAGGCTTTAATAATTTTAGTAAGTGATTAAGAATGTTGAAAGTCGCTTTTCGGAAGGAAAGTGCAGATACTGGTCCTGCTAGTCGGCATAAATGCGTACTGAAAAAGTATCCCGAAAAATTATAATAAGTGCATGATAATTACTAGAATAATGTATAGGACTTGTAGAACGAGTTTTAAGTCCAAATAATGAGAACTGGTGCCGGAAACTGGTACTGGCTATGAAAAGCGCGTACCGGAAAGGTGCTCCGAAAATTATTAGAAAAATATGATAATTCTTGTAAAATTGAGTAGGTTAAGAATCCAAAGTTTGGGATTAAAATGCTAAGCGTAGCAATTAAAGTTGATATTGTGTGTTTTAAGCGTAAGTGGCTATTTAAATGATTGGCACATGATCCTAGGGCAATTCTTTCAGCCTTGAGCGTGAGTTTCTGGTCCTCCAACAGCTGAAGCACCTCCAGCCACCCTTTGCCACCTTCTCCTCCTTTGTTGAGAGCCAAGGAGCTTCCTTTCTTCTTGGTTCTTCTCCTAAATACCTTGGGCTTGTGAGAGCTTGCTTGGAGAGGGAGTGTGAGTGTACTTTCTGAGTTCCAGCCACTGAGTGTTGGTGAGGGTGCTGACTTTGTGAGGTTTGGGTGTTGAGGAGCCATGGTCATGGCATTTTGAGGTCCAAGTGGTGGTCTTTGGTGAGAAAGAACCAACCTTTGTGAAGGCATTTTCGTTTTCTGTACAAGTCAGAGTTTAGGAGCTGGTTGTGAACTTCAAGAGCAACCATTTGCCTCTGTTTTAGACTTTGGTGAGTTGTACCAACCTTGATCATGTGTTATTATGAGTAAAAGAGGTGTCTTGGTATGTTTAATGAGTTAAACAAGTAACCAACTGTCATATGAACATAAATGAACCTTAAGAGGCATGTTTAAGCTTCTGGAAGTGTTAAAAATGGAACCTTGGAGGGATATCTTCGTGAAATGCAGAAACTGCATTCTGTTGCGAAATATCCGGATATTTGACGTGGAATATCCGGATATTGATATCCGGATATGGGAATCTGGATATCCGGATATTGATATCCGGATATTGCCAGAGTGATATCCGGATATTGCCTGTGAGATATCTGAATATTGCATATCCGGATATGTCCCCGAGGGATATCCGGATATTGCCTGTGAGATATCTGAATATTGCATATCCGGATATGTCCCCGAGGGATATCCGGATATTCTGGGTTTGCGAGGAACAGTAGCGTACTGTTCATCCAGAACTGATCTATGGGTTTGTGGACCCTAGTTTGAGGAAGTTGAACTTCTGTAATTAATTAATGTAAGTCAGAATCGAATGATTAAGGGCTTATGGCTTGGTGAGATGTCTTAAGACGTAAAACGTAATGGAAATGCGTTGTCTTAATATTGTATGCTTGCGGTGCATGTTATTGATATATTGTTGGTCCATAACAGATTGTGAATCTGCTGTGTTTGGACTTTGAGCTGTGGACTCTTGGCTTTGGGTGTTAGCTCTCAAGGTAAGCTTTCGTGTCCTCGGTTTAGCCATGTTGTGATTCCAACATGTCTCATGGGGGTATGGTTATATGCATGCTGTGTTACATGCTTTGAGATATATGAATTGTTGTTGAGCTTTATGTGTTAATGGCTTTTAATATGCATGTGTTGTTCCATCTTGACGGTAAACCTGAGTATGTGGCGTCATACAATACGGTGATCCGGGGTGGATACAAGCGGCGTCTTGTACTTATTGTGGGGTTGTAGACGTACATCCTGCATTTCTCTGACCAGTAGATTAGTATTGACACACATGACATGATTATCTGCTGCATTACACTGTTTCAGAAATGATCTTGATGAACTGCTTTTAAACTTATATTGCACATGTAAGTGAGCTTGGGGTGGAAGATCCTTGAGAACCCCTTGCCTTACTGAGATTTTTTGTTTAGAGATCTCACCCCACATTTGGGAAATGCTTATTTCAGGTTCAGGTAGTATGGTGACTGATGCCTCTGGCGACAGGAGGCCAGAGCTTAGCTGATTA